GCGCTACCACGCCCAGCTGATTTTTTGATTTATTGTAGAGATGAGGTCTCGCTGCCTAGGCGGGTCTCGAACCCACGGGCTCAGGCAATCCACTCACCTCAGCCTCCCAAAGGCGCGGAATTACAGGCTGAGCCACCGAGCCCGGCTTCCTTTTCTTTTTAATCAATGTAATACATATAAGTGGTGCTAAAAAACCTACTATCAAATAGTAACAAAGCCTTGAGCCCTTTCCAGAACTTCTTCCAATCCTGGAGGCTACTGCTTTTGTTTCTCAGTGATTTCTTCTGGCTTTAATTTTATATTTCTAAATAAAATTATCTCTTGATCCTGTAAATAGATACTGCTCAGCCAAGTAGTATATTATGATCGCCATTCTTCTATGTAAATACATTTGTTCTTAATTGGCATTAGTATTTTCTTAATTCTTCTGTTTGCTCTGTTTTCTTTCCTAGGTCTTCCCTTGCAACAGCTTGTTAAAAAAATATCAGTCAGCAAAGAAGCTGAGCGCTGCTTAAATTTTCCCTTCCTGTGCTGCAGCCGTCAGCTGCCTCTTGGTAGAAAACTGTAGCAATCCTAGGTTCATCTCACTTGTTTCCCTTCTTTCAGGGATCACACTCCTTTAGGTATTCAGTGTCTGAAAATAACTTGTTTTATGAATTTGTCCTATTGCAGCAGGTTATGCTGGTCTTTTTGTTTTGCCATTACGACCTGAAATGGAAGTTAAACTTGGATATTTTAACAAAATAAAAGGGTACCAGCCGGGCTCGGTGGCTCAGCCTGTTATCCCGCGCCTTTGGGAGGCTGAGGTGAGTGAATTGCCTGAGCCCATGGGTTCGAGACCCGCCTGGGCAGTGAGACCTCATCTCTACAATAAATCAAAAAATCAGCCGGGCGTGGTAGTGCATGCCTGTAATTCCAGCTATTCGGAAGGCTGAGGTGGAAGGATCGCCGGAGCCCAGCAGGTCGAGGCTGCGGTGGCCGGGAGCGGCCACTGCACTCCAGTCTGGGCGACAGAGTGAGACTCCAACTCAGAAAAAAAAAAAAAAAAGGGTACCAGCCCCATTCTCTTACCCTAGCAGTTACCAACATGGAACTTTTGTTATACTATCAAGCAATTGCAAGTTTTTATCTTGCTTGTTCTTAGGTAGTAAAAAGAATTGATAAAATGATTTTGACTAAGTTGTGTCAGCCGAGGAATAATAAAGATCAAGGATTGGCAGACTTTTTCTGTAGAGACCAAATAAATAGTAAATATTTTAGACTTTATGGGCTATACAATCTTTGCCACAACTACTCAACTGCTATTGTCGTCCAAAAGCAGCTGTAGACAATACATAAATGAATGAACATGGCGATGTTCCAATAAAATTTATTTATAGACACTAAAATTAGAATTGCATATAATTTTCTTTTGTCATGCAATATTGTTTCGATTTCCCTCCAGCCACTTAATAATGTAAAAACCATACTTAGCTCGTGGGCTGTACATATACAAGCAGCAGGCTGGATTTGCCCTGAGGCCATAGTTTGTTGACACTGAAACAGACTCTTAAATAAGCTTCTCATCCTGCATTAATGTGGTAGCAAATTAGGAACTTACTCAGTATTTCTGAACTCTTCAATATTTCTCTCTTAAGTACCCACTGGAAAAACAGTGTAATTCGTATTGGCAGGCTTAAGGAACAGACAGTAAAAAAGCAGGAAGAGGAGGAGACTAGAGGAGGAAGTGGGTTAATTTTGGGAGTATCATTAATCTGTCTGAGGCACCAGTTTGTTCATTCCATTTATTAAGCATTATTGAGTATCCATTGTTGTTTGACACTGTGACAGGTCCTATAAGATACAAAGCAGGCAACCCCTTGGGTCCCCTCCCACTGTTGGAGCTTATCTGTCCTCTCAATAAATCCTGCTTTCTTTAAAAGAAAAAAAAAAAAAAAGATACAGAGCAGAGTGCAGCTTGGTCTTGGCCTGGAAAGGTGAGAAAGACAATTGCGTTTTAATTATTTGTTGGGTTAAATGGCAATTTAGAATGGCTTAAAACTGGTGTCTTTTGCTGGTAAATACTTTGTTGCTATAAAAGTGATATGGACTTTGTGGAAGAGAATTATCCACTATCTCACAAATATTATGGATGCCAATAGGGAAGGTTTATCCCAGCTATGTTAGCAAATTGATTGTATAACTTTATATAACTTTCTCCTTTCTTCCTTTAAAATAAGAATTCATGACTTTTGTCAGCCAGAAGGCTATTTTATGGATTGAGTCCATAGTCCCAGAACATTTGAGATTTGTTAATTAAAGTATTCATATAAAATGTTTATAATAAATGATCAGTTTTGATGTTTTTTAAAATAGAAAGTCCCGCAGAGCAAATGGTAATTGGGAATAATTTAAAAACCTGGAACATTTGGCATTCTTGCAATAATGAAAAGATTTTTTAAATGCTTTCTAGTTATATCAGGAAGTGTTTCTGCTTACTTTGGAGAGAAATTACTAAATCACATGATGAGGAAAATACTTTTGCATATTTGTGTGTATGTGGAATGAACTTCTCATTTCTATCTTGGGTTTTAATGCCAAGTAGATGGTTAGAATATACTCTGTCTTGGGCACCCCAAATGAGACAACTTAGAATCTTTTGTATTGGCAGCCTAGGGAACAGAAAGTAGACAAAGGGAGGAAAGAGGTGACTGTGGGAGAGATGGGTTAGCTTAGGGTGGGTTAATTATTCTTTCTGAGGTACCAGCTTGTTAATATCATTTATCAAGCATTAACTGAATTTTCATTATTGTTTGACACTGTGACAGTTGCTGTAGAAACCAAGGAGGGGATAGCCTGGTCTTTGTTCAGCAAGGATAGAGAATGACAGGTAGACATATAGTTACTGAAAACATTGCAGTCCAGCAATATAGTGCTTAAAATTATTTGGTAACAGAGCATTGACTGTGACTAAATCCTTAATTTCCTAGTTGAGCAAGAAGGAATAGTTGTTCCATGCAGAGGAATAAAATGTACTGTATTTGAAGGCCTTGTATACGATGTTAAAAATGCTTGCCATTGCTTCACTCTTCAGTTCTATTTAGACTGGCATGGGATCAGGGTTGTTGATATGTTTAAAATTTTCCAGTCCCGTGTGGATTAATAGTTTTATAAAATATGATAAAAATGAGTTATAGAATGAAATAAAGACATGCAAAATAAAAGTCCCGATTTTTTACTTAGATTGAACCAACATAAAATGATTCTGTCAAATTACAATGAAAGTTTATGAACACAGAGTTTCTGTATTTTCTTCATCGTAGATTAGTAACAAATATTCCATGGCTGGTAATTCTTGGATTTACAATGGTCTGTAGGCCTTACTCAGAGTGGTTATTGATCTCCTAGGTGATCTCTATGGTCCCTGCACGTTTTCAAGCAAAGAATGGCGTGATCATATTTATGTTTAACAGAATGAATTCTTTTGTAATATGAGATAATTAGGTTTCAGGCTGGAGGACTGGAGGCCAAGGAACCCTGGAATCATCAGCTTTGGAGGGGTAGCTGGAAATGGAGGAGAAAGTGAGGGTGTCTCTATTTATATTGATAATTTACATAAGGAGCCATTTTTGCACTAGGTTTTTAGCTTATTGAAGGCAGAGACTACATTTCTTTTGACTACTAAGATTAGGTAGTCACTTTCAAAAATATTTGATGAATGAATGAATGAACGAACAAATGGATGAATGAATGAGTCAGAGAGGTAAGTGCAGTACCAAGAGAGAGTAGAATGTTCACAACTGGAATAAGAATTTTAGACTGGAGGGCGTATTAAACAGAACCAAGTGCTTTCAAATCAGGGAAGATGATAATTTAATAAGTATTTTTTGGATTTAGTAATTTGAAAGTCCCTGGGTCGATCAACTTTAGCTGTGCTGCAAATGTGGTGGGTACTCTCGTACAGTGCCAGCTGGACTATTGCTACTTGGTCATCTTTTAATATTGCTTTTTAAAAATAATAAACTTTGAGTATTTTTCTCATTTTTTTTCCCTAAGAAGATTATGGTAGTTTTATGGTATTGTGGGTAGTGAAAATCCAGGAGACTTAAGACAATTCATAATATTATGTGATTAGTTGAATCTTTCTAGTGTCTTTTTTGTTATACAATGAAAATATTCAATGTCTTCACAGTAAATTCAGAATTGTGTCAATATTTTTATAGCATGAAGATCAGCAAGAAGTGATCCTTGTCAGAACAAGCCAGTCTGGAAGAGTATGGCCTGTGAACACATCAGGAAAATCTTTGGAATCAAAAGGAGGAAGAAGGAAGAGACAGATGGTATGTTTAACATATGTCTTTGTTTATTAATCCAGGACTCCTTTTTCCCTTTATAACTTTTTTTGCGTCAGACTACAAAATATTTTTGAAATGTAGCTTTCCGATGCAAACATTGGAAGGTAGTAAATTATGTTATTACTTTTACTCTTAGTTATATCCCTTTGCCTTTTACAAAATGAAATTTAATTCAACTGCATTTTAAAAAACAATTGTGAACATTGAATGTTCAAGATGATTTTAATTTTGGTGTACATTTCTTTGGTGTTGGTTTTAGCTTCGTTCTGCATACTAACCATAGCTCTAAGGGAAACTTTGATCCTCCAGACCTGTTACCTGTGTTAGGCAGCTGATTTGAGATCTGGCAAAGGGGTATTCATACACAGTGATGGCTTAATTATGTAGGTGCTAAGATCTTTTGTAAACCTAATTTTCTTTCTTACCTTTCAACTCTAGCAATAAGTTTTTAGCACTACCTTGGGGCTCTTGAGATGGCACACAGAGCATATTCAATTTTCCCAAGTGAGATTTTTTATTTTAAATCTGAAAGATCATACAGGTGATAATTGGTGCACAAAAGAATTGCTCATTTGGAATATTTCCATCACATATTTATTATTTGCCTGTTGGGTATCTTTGCTACTAGAGATACTAATTAATTTACTCAACGAATGGAAGTGGAATGGATGCATCTTTTAATGTAATGGGAGGAATTAAGGGTTGGAGAGACATTGGAGGAGAATAGTAAAGGTCTGAATTTTTGGAAATGACAGCACTGACTAGGAATCCGTAAATAGACATCATCAGAGACATCAGGGCCCTTTTCGAGTTGGGTACTACCAACCAATCCAGGGAGGGTCATAAAAAATGCAAATATGTTTATTCAGGGTTGGTGTTTCTTCTTTGAGCATAATGAAAAGACAAGAGGGTCAGAAGTTAAGTGTCTGGAGCCAGAGGGTGATTGAAAACATGGGATATGAGGTTTAAGCAAGCGAAAACAAGAATAGCAATGCCAGGGGAAAGAGTTGGACCTTGGTTCCAAAGATCTCAAAGATATTAAAGACCATGTTTTATTTGGTTAGGGAAATATGAGAGCAGCATTGGGGAGATTTGGGTTGGGAGGAAATAATTAGTACGTTTTGTTCCATACCTGGGTACAGAACCAACTAGAAGGAAGACAGAGGATTGAGTTAGATATGATAGAATAATATAGACTGGGTGGCTTAAACAACAGAAATCTATTTCTTACAGTCCTTGAGACTGGGAAGTCCAAGATGAGGGTGCTGGCAGATTCAGTGTCTGATGAGGGCATGCTTCCTGGTTTGTAGATATGGTCTCATTTTCTCACATGGCAAAGAGACAGAGAACAGGAACTCTCATGTCTTTCAGTTGGGATACTGATCCCATTCATGAGGGCTTCACCTCTCATGACTTATTTACCTCCCAGGACCTCACCTCCTAGTACCTTGATATTGCAATTTCAACATATAAATTTGGGGGTGACATGGGCATTAAGTTTATAGCAATGAATTTACTAATATTTTACCTCTGTTTTTGATATACTTACTCTATCTCTGGATAGCTGCAGTCTTCTCTCCACAGCAGTAGGGAATTTTAACTACAAGGAGGAGAAGAGCAGAAAGAGAGAAAAAGGAATAGAGCAATTTTGTTCTTTTATCAAAACTCAGGAATCAGATTATGTCATGCTTCCATCCCTGGGGAAGAGGAGATTAAAGGGTGGAAAAAGTAAGGACTGTAAATCTTTCTTTTTTTTGAGTCAGAGTCCCACTCCGTTGCTCAGGCAGGAGTGCAGTGGCACACTCACAGCCACCCCAATGTCAACCTGCTGGGTTTCGGTGATCCTTCTGCCTCAGCCTTCCAAGTAGCTGGAACTACAGGCACGTGCTACCATGTCTGGCTAATTTATTTATTTATTTATTGCAGAGACGAGGTCTCGCCATGTTTGCCCAGGCTGGTCTTGGACCTCTGGGCTCAGGCAGTCCTCTCACTTTGACCTCCCAAAGTGCTGGGATTACTGGTTTGAGCCACCTCACCCGGCCAAGGAGTGTAATTCTAATGGAAATTCTTCCATAGGAAGCAGATACAATAGGGATAAACTGGAAGGAAAGGTGGTGATTTATAGTGGAATGTTTACATTTAATACCAGATTTATACATGGGACATTAAAAAATACTACAGAGAGTCATGTTTTCATTAAATTAATGATGTTCATTTTGTCACAGGTTTCAACCCATGAAGAAAAAGAAAGGGTCAGATACTTTGATGATGATGATAATCTAAGCCTAAATGATTTAGTCAAAAATGAGAAGATGGGAACAGCAGAAAATCAAAACAAACTTTTTATGAGAATGGCATCTAAGGTAAGATACACTCCTAGGATACCTTTGAATTTTGAGAAGCTGGCTTTTCAATCTAACAATGATCTACTTTTCAAAGAGATCTGGTTCTACCTAATCTTGGTTTGTTTTATTAAGTCAGATCTTTTGTAAGACATATTAGGAACATGCATGTTGGAATTGATCTGTTGGAGAAATAAATATTGGAATTTTGTTTGTTTTTCAATATAGATTCTGGTTTTAGGCCATAGTTTAATGATTGGTAATGTGCTGCTCATTTTGATTACCAGTCTTTCTTATCTTAATGTTCCTCCAATTCTTCACAATTATGCCATGAGGAAATAGAAGAAAATATTTGGGGAAATATATTATGGGTCATAGAGAAGGCATCTTGGAATAATCTTAAATCTATTTATGTGAGCCGGGCTCGGTGGCTCAGCCTGTAATCCCGCGCCTTTGGGAGGCTAAGGTGAGTGGATTGCCTGAGCCCGCGG